TTAGTTAGTTAGTTAGTTAGTTAGTTAGTTAGTTAGTTAGTTAGTTAGTTATTGAGACAAGGCCTCAATCTCTCAGCCAGTGTGAGCTAGGACTCAGTCTGTGATCCATAGGGGCCCTGGATTTGTGGCAAGCCTTCTGCTCCTGTAGTTTCCTGCTGGGATTACAGGTGTGAGCCACAAGCCCGGCTTGTTTGATCTTCGGGAATATTTCTCTCACACCCTCACCAATCTATTTCTCTCATTTGAGTGTGTGTGCATGTTTGGCCGGAGGATAAATAATGTCAAGGCTGTGAAAGCCTATGGAGACCGGTGCACCATGCTCTAGTCTGAAGTTGGACTAAGTGCATTTTACAATATCAAATGTTTACAAGCCTACGAAGGCAGGGAGTGGAAGGCGCAGCTTTCGATGAGAGTTGTCCCTACAGGTTCATACGTCTGAATAGTTGGTCGCTAGTTGTCTTAGTTTGGAAATTAATACTGTGAAGAGACACCATGACCACAGCAACTTCAGAAGAAAATCATGCAATAGGAGCTTGCTTACATTGTCAGAGGTTTAGTCCATTATCATCATGGTGGGAAGCATGGCAGCATGCAGGCAGGCATGGTGCTGGAGAAGCAGCTGAGAGTTCTGCATCTTGATCCGCAGGCAGCAGAAGAGAACTGGCTTGAGCTTCTGAGACCCCCCCAACCCTCCCTGCAGCCACCCACCTCCTCTGACAAGGCCACACCCACCCCGAGGCTGCACCTCCTAATGGTGCCACTTCCTCTGGGTTTGTGGGGGCCATTTCTTTCAAACTACCACACCCATTGTTGGAGTTGTTTGGGAATGATTAAAAAGTGTATAGCCTTGTTGGAGGAGGTATGTCAGAGAGGGCAGGCTTTGAAGTTTCGAAAGATTTGTGCTATTTTGAGTTAGCTATTTCTGTCCCCTACTTGTGGATCAAGACATAAGCTCTTCTGGCCACCACGGCTTTGGTCCACCACCATGAATTCTAATCCTCGGAAACCAGAAGTTACATGTTGCCTCGGCTATGATATCTCATCACAACAATAGAGAAGTAACTGTCTTCGTTAGTTTCTTAGTTCTATTGCTGTGACATCACGACCACAGCAACTCTTACGAAATAAAGCACTTAATTGGGGCTGGTTTACAGTTTCAGAGGTTCAGTTCGTTATCATAATGGCGGGAATAGGGTGGCAGGCAAGTAGCCGTGGTGCTGGAGGAGCTGGTGAGAGTTCTACATCAGGATCCACACAGGCAGCAGGGAAAACAGGAGACACTGGGCTTGGCTTAGGATTTTGAAAGCACCCCCCCCCCTTGATATACACCCTCCAACAAGGCCATGCCTCCTAGTTCTTCTCAAGTAGTGCTACACCCTGATGACCAAGCACTCAAATACGTGAGCCTCTGGTGGCCATTCTTATTCAAACCACCACAGTAACTGAGGCAGTTTGACTTCAGGTGTTGTCCCCTCCTTTCTGAGGTACGATCTTTCTCTGGCCTGGAAATCTCTAAGTAAGGTATCTCTTCCTCAGTGCTGAAATGACAGGTGTGTACTGCCCTAGCTAGCTTTTTTTTTTTTTTTTTTTCTCCACACGAATTCTGTGCTCAGGAATCAAATTAGGGCCCTGGAGCTTGGAAGGCAAGTGCTTTGCTGAGTGAACTATCTCCACGGTCCTTGCAGTCACCTCTGAAATTTGTTTCCATTTTTGGCATAAGTTTGTGAATCCAACTATATGTTATTTTTTACATTGAGAGACAATCGTTATAGCCTCATTCTAAACTTTCTCACAGCTTCTCTTTGCCTATGGAGTCACAAGGCGATTCCTGACCACTTCCTCTTCTCTTCACCATGGTTCTGACCTCTGCCTAGCTTCTAGAACTTTTTTTTTAAATTTTTTTTTTAAAGCACTATTATCACAGTTCTTTTGAGATCCCAGACTCACCAGCCTCTTCCAGGCTCTTCTATGTTTCTGCTCTTCTTTCTTTCTCTTATTTTACTTTTTGCTTCTTCAGTTTTATAGAGCTGTCTCACATAATTTGAGTACCCCCTCCACCAACCATCCAACAGGAAAAGCACTGTTCTTCCTGCCTTAGGCAAACCAGCACACTTTATTTCAGCAATGATTCCACTCATTCTCTTGTTTTATGTATCTCACTTGGGATCTGAAATTTGACACATCATCCTTGATTTCCCTACAGGAACATGGGCATCACTGGCCAGAACTGTGTTCTATTTGTGCACAGATTTTTATTTGCAGAGGCAGGAAGGTACACTAGTATATTTTCTTTAAAAAAAAAAAAAAGATGACAGTGTGGGTGGCCTGTGTTCTGCCCCTCGTACTAGGTGTCAGCAGTCTACTTCCCTTGGCTGAAGATGTGCTAGGTATCAGAGTTGGCCAACCAACCCCTGGTGGAGCTGCATCCCCATAGTCTAGAGCGATACCTGCAAAATAGTAGGGCCTTCATATCGACCGTACTGAGTACTCTCTTCTCTTTTTCCTGACTTAAGCAGGCTTGCTTTTTGGAGGATAATTCTGGTGACACTGTGGAAGGCTGTCTGAAGCACTGTAGAGGGCCATGGGATGGGGCGGAACTGGAGAGGGGGACATAGGGACTGGGCAGGAGGGCCCAGCATTGACTGTGTTGAAGGCATGGGAGATCTAGGTCTGCCTGGCTTGGAACCCTGGCCTTGGTGCTGCCCCATAGCTGGCTTACGCCTGTGGCCTCACATTAACTCTAACCTGCTCACAGAGGCCTTTTGAGGCCATTATCTACTGTGAGGATGACATAGTAAATACCCTGGGAATTTAACCTGGCCAAACATTTAAAGGTGGGCTCCAAGGCCACGAGGGTATGAGCTCCAGCGAGACACTTGCCTTCAGTTCATACTTTTAGCACTTGGATACGGCACAGATGAATCAGTTAATCACAGGTTTCCCTGTGATTTGTTTTGCCCCCCCCCTCCACTTTGCTAGTACAATAATTTATTATTTCTTTTTTTTTCTTTTGGGACTGAACATGGAAAAGCTGTCTGTTTGGATCACTTGTCTGTTTGCATACTCTGTCAGGTGGGGAGGCTGTTTATTTCCACATCAGCTGCTTCTCCCCCCTCCCTCCCACTTCACTGGTACTTTTGGGACTGGTCTAACTTGGAGGACATCTCTGCCTTGGTCCCCTGACATTTCTTTAGGAATTCACAGCCACCGAGAAGCTTTTGGGAAGGGAACACCCCAAATACAAAATCCCGAGGCTTGAAAGACACCAGTCCAACCAAGCCAGGCTCGCTGAACTGTGGAGGACAGAAAAGTGGGAGAATTTGAGCGAGATCAAACATTTATTATTTTCTGAGCACAACAAAAGTGTCACAGAGAACACTTCACTGTAAACTGTTTTCCAAAGGGTGAATAGGGCAGCTGGGAAAGATGATTCTGCTCCAGAATGACATCTTGAGATGACACGGGGACATACAGATGGAGATGTCTTAGGGACAGATGTGAGGCCTGGTCCACAGTTGACTCCTCACAACCTGAAGTCCAGCCTTAAGACTGATTCATCATGTCCCAGGATGATGAACAAAGACACCACAAGGAAGAGTGCATGTGCACCGAGGTCTGAATAAATGCACAGAATCGGAACCAATCTTATATGCAGATATTAAGTACACCAGTGAATATATATATATATATATATATATATATATAAAGAAATGACAATATGAATGGATTGTGTTCCACTGTTTTAATGAAGTGCCAGACTTCTCTTATCCTTTGCTAAATGTCTGCTCTGTGTGGCAGGCCACTCATGGTGGATGGGCTGCCTGCTCTGTTCCCTAGGCGACAGAGCACAGACCAAACTGCTGAGCTGTGACACTCCAGTTCCCTGGCTGGTCCAGGTGGGTGCTGGGATGTCAGGACGCAACTATGCTTTCTGTACTCTGAGCTTACACAGGTGGAATAGCCTTGGGCCACAGGGCTAAGGAAAGCCTCGGTGTTTCACCTTGGGGTCCCAGGGTCAGTCTTGATCAGGAGAGGACAGTCAAGCATTCAAAGCTACGCACGAGCAAGGCCCTGGGTGCCAAGCCTTCCTTCTGAGACAAGCTCATTGGGTTTTCTCTTGGCAGGGGCCTAGCATAGAATTGTGCCTAGCACAGGTGGGTAATGCCACACTAGCTAAACTAGCTTCCTGGGAAGTCTATTAGCAATTGCAAAGCACAGATGCTATAGGCAATACCTCACTTAGTCCCCAAGATAAGCTCCCCTCTGATCCTGAACAGAACAGACAAGTCCTGCTTCTGGATTCCCACACTCACACTTTTTCCCGGCCCTAGCCACAGCACTCTTCGGTCTGATCATCAGGCATAGTCTCCTTCTTGCTATGGCGACAGTTGGTGGCTAGCATCCTATACCTGGTATGTACTAAGAGCATGTAGATCAGCCATTTCTGACCTTTCCAAATGTCAAATGAATTTTAACAAACTTTCATATAAAACTGACCTTTATTACAATTTAAAAAGAACAAAGACAAGTTGATAAGTGCCTTTAATTATAACATACCTGCTATTTACAAGTAATTATACTTTCAGAATACAGCTTGAGTAAGGTTCATTACGTGTAAACTAGAAGCCGCCACAAATTAAACTCCAGCCTTTTATGATTATTCAGAATCAACATTATTACCATCAGAGACAGAAAACAAACACCCGTGTCAGTTCCTTAAGTATCGTTACTGAATGAAAAATCGTGGTCTGGCCATAAGAAGAGGAGTAGAAATGTGCGTCAAATCGAAACATGACAAAAAGTATTGCTATTATCTAATCCTAAATACAATGAACTGGATCATTAAAAACAATGCAACCTCAAGTTATATAGCACCTTTCAAGGAGGTCAAAGCATTCATACTTACATTATCTTACTTGTCCCCAAAACATCTCTATGAGGTAGGCAATGGTTGGTTATCATTATCCCCATTTTGTAATATGGAGAAACTGAGGCACAAGGAAGTTCAATCATTTGCTTGAGGTGATATGGTAAAGCTGATGATGGAACAGGTATCACAGCCCTGTGCTCCTGTCTCCAAAAACGCATAATTCTCAGCAGACAAAACTGGAGGATGTCATTGAACACATTAATTCACTTTTGCAAGAAATTTTAAAAATGTGCTTTTTTTTTTTTCCCCTCTCCACCCATACAAATTGTTGATACACCATACGCAAGAACAAACACTCTGGGACAGTGGCAGACAGATCTATATTCTGCTAGAAAGGTTATGGGAATCTTGTTCATCTTTTATTCCAGGAGTTGGTCTTCCTAGCTGAAACAGTGAAAGTCTTTAGAAAAAAAATCTACTTGAAAGGCTGCTTCTCCTGGCTTACAGATTACAGCTTTAATGACCACAGTAGGTTATCCACAAACTTGGCTTATTCTCGAGTTACAAAGAAAATATCTAAATAACAAGTTCAACCTTTGAGTTAATTGTCCTCCTTTATATACATTTACGCCTTAAGACAGTGGTTCTCAATGTGTGGGTCGCAACCCCGTGGGGTCACATATCAGATATTTACATTATGAGTCATAACAGTAGCAAAATTACAGTTATGAAGCAGGAACAAAAAATTGCGACTGGGGGTCACCACAACTGCGTTAAAGGGTCCCAGCGGTAGGAAGGTGGAAAACCATTTTAAGGTAATGGTAAAGATTCTAAGTGGCCAGTGGGAAGTAGGGATGGTAAATTTTTGAGAGAGAAACAGAGTCAGGAAGCTACTCACAACACTTAGTTCAAATCTTGCTTTTCATCCCCCTTCAGAGTCAAATGTGTATTTGACACATTTTTTAAAAGTACTAAAAATACACAGAATGATTGAAGTTCCAGACTCAACTCTCCAGGCATTTATAATTCTTTCTTTTCTTTTCTTTTTTCTTTTCTTTTTTTCTTTCTTTCTTTCTTTCTTTCTTTCTTTCTTTCTTTCTTTCTTTCTTTCTTTCTTTCTTTCCTTTCTCCTTCCTTCTTTCCTTCCTTCCTTCCTTCCTTCCTTCCTTCCTTCCTTCCTTACTTCCTTCCTCTCTCTCTTTTTTCCTTTCCTTTTTTCATTTTTCATATAGCACCTCTACTAGACAAACACCATGAATGCTTTCACAATTTTCCTGGGTAGTTGGCAGGCGTCTGTGAAGTAACATGGAAGAATTGCTTTCAGAAGAGGGAGAGAGGAAGGGAGGGGGGTGGACAGGGGATGGGGAGGGGGGAGAGAAGCCTACATTACAGACAGACAAGGCCAGCCTGAGTGTTGGCAACCTCACGTCGGGCGCATTGACGGGTTTACATGGGAAACATTGGGAATGCGATGGAAATGCATTAGGGATGTTCAGTGTCGGCAGCCTTGGCTTGCAGGTTAGTGTGTAACCTCCTCTGGGAGCCTGGGGAGCATAGATGGCTTCCATGTTGGCTGGTGGTCGGTATTGGAAGAGACGAGGCATTCTGTAGATATGGTACAGAGGGGATAGTTGGGGAAATACTATTGTGGGGAAGAGGTCTGTGGCAAATGGCCAGGAGGCTATGGGTGAAAGAGCAAGCATGGTGAACTGGGAAGAAACACTGATTTCACACCCTAGTCCTTCTGCCTCCTCAAGAGCATCAGGGTTAGAAGAATCATAACATTTTGAGGCTAATACAGATATTTTTGAACATATAAAACCTAAGTTTAAGCATTTTCACTTTTGCAAAAGAACTCTCTACCCTTTCATGAATTGGATGATCAGACAGTTACAAAGATCTGCAACGACAATTAGTGCCTGCTTTGTGTCTTGAATTACTTTGTGCCACACTTGAGTAAGAGGAGTACCTTTAAACTGGTTCGGAACCTAAGAGACATGTTAATTCAGCCATCCTCATCAAGGAAAGTGCTTGAACGAGAGCTACAAAGCCTACGTATTTATCTGGCTGTATTTCAAACTCCCCCAGAAAACAAGGCATGTAATTACAACATGATTATTAAGCAGGTGACAACATGACAGTATTTTCCTGTGGCAGTTTAACAGAGAAGTCTGAGGAGAGAGAGTCCCTAACCATTATAACACATATGAGGTGACTTGAGATAATCAGAACATTTTATTTAGAAAAAGCCTTATAGCTAGGGTTAGCCTTGAACTCAAGACCTTCCTGCTCACTCACTCTCCCGAGTTATAGGATTACAGGCATGGGCTACCATGCCTGGCTCCTACATCTTAAACAAGACAAGCCTGTTGAATATCAGTAACAATCCAAGGGGAAAGTCTGTATTGGGATAAATGAATATTAAATGGAATGATCTTTAATAATGCCTTTTAAACAAAATTACACTTCCAATTTCACCTGATATAAAGAGTCTGAACAAATATTTCTCAGTTAAATAAAATAAGAACTTGAAGGACAATAAAATACAAATATTTAGGGGTAAGAAGTAAAAAAAAAAAAATTGAAAGACTCAAAAAATGAGTAAAAACATGATTTAAAAAAACGTGCAGTTTTTCTTTCTCTTCTGTACCATGACCTAACATTTTGCTTCCTGCTTCCTGATACAAATTCTCATTTCTGCTGGGCTCTGTATTTTAGGAGAGGCACTTGCAGTGTGGGTGTGTTCAGCCTGTTGGATGCTGTGAGGAATTCTGTACTGAGGAACAGACAGTCCCCAGCAAGCAGAATGCAGACGCCACTGTAAAGAAACCCCTGCTCCATGCTGTCCATGCGTGTTCCTAGTTCCACGTCAGCCACTCAGTGACACCAAACATTACACTTTCAATGTTTTCTTGGCACAGTGTAACACACATGTCAGGGACTCCAGGAAAGAGGCCTCAAAACAGACTCTGACTTCCACAGCCAACCCTAAGCTGTCTGGGTACCAGAAACCAACACTTTCAGAAGATTGGCACCCCAGATCACAGGGGTTCCTATTTGCCATCACAAGGAGCAAAATCCTGCTTCATTCACCCATTACAAAATCCTGCTTCGGTCTGGAATCAGCCACTGCATCGGCACAAGACAGGCTTTGTATATCCATATTCCATAATCACCCACTGGTTCCGCTGGCAACACATGGGTTCAACGAGAAATATAATAGGTTCTCCCCATGTGATAACTGGCTTCCGCTACCTGGGAGGCCACCCTGCCTGCCAGTCTGGCTCAGGGTTTCTCTTTTGTTGCTTTTGGCAAAATCTCTTCCTTGACACTTACTGAACACTACACCTGTTTACAATCCTTCTCTCAGCCGAGTATGTGTAACAAAGCCAGCCTCAGACAGCATTGTTTTCCAATGGGGAGAATTAACAAACACAATTTAAAATCTGAATGTACTCATTAGGAAAACTAAATGAAGGCAGCTCAAGAAGGCATCCCATAATTACCAAATGAAACTGTTGGAGAGTGGTTTCTTTTAATTCTGCTGGTAGGACACAAGTTCATCACACTAGGAGGATAACCTTCCCAACTACGTAACAGAACACAGTCTGATTAGTGCCAGGGCCAGCAACTCATAATACAGACATACACATGTGAGGATACATGTAGTTTGTCACTGGTGAAGGGAGGGCATGTTTTAATTACCTATGTGAAAATCAAGTAAGAGAAGCGCTCTGGCACACTGGGTGAAATGTTAGTTCCCTGTGTGGAGTGCCTGTTGCTATTTTAGCATTCAACTAGGATTTACTGTGGGAGGATCCAATTCTGTTGAATTTAACGTAGGACAACCAGTAAGCTTTTTCTCACAAAGAGTATTGGTATTATTTAGAACGTTGACAGATGTGGTTTAGATAAGGACAAGTCAAAAATATGTGGCCAACATATTTATAAAGATGACTTTCAGAATTTCTTAAACATTTCACATAATATGGTCTCTAATTTTCAGGATTTACATTTAGGAAGTATGTGAAACAGCGTAAAATGCTTTCAAACTTTTGAAAGCATTTAAACAAACAAAAAAAAACAACCTACTTCTAATCTAGACAGATTTATAATTCTGACTTCAAGAGAGAACTTGTAATTTATTTTTTCTTTGTGGATAGGCTCACATAGGTGTAATCAGATGCTCACTGTGGTTGAGTGTTTCCGTCTACAGGGTGACCTGCTTTTGATGACTCCTTTTCTGATGATCCACACACTTAGACTCTGTAACTTAAACTTTAGGTTAAGGCTTTAAAACAAACTACGGGCTCTGTTCAGCTAAAAGATAGAAACACAGATTTTGAGCCAAATGAAAGAGTAAAAACTTGCAACAAGACAAAAGCCTGGTAACTCAAGTCCAGCAGTGCCCACGCAGCAATAAATACACAATAATTAGGTACCTGAAGTTCCGCTGAGCAAAGCTGCTTCCCTTGGCCACTCCTCCCCCAGTCTCACAAGCTATTGCTTATTCTTTTGGAATTTATGTTCGAGGCCCTTACGGTTCCTTGTAAAGAATACTCTAGATATCGTCTGGTAAGTATTCACAACTTATTTTTACAACTGGTTTTCAAACCAGGACAGCGATTTCAGTGCACATTTCATGACTGTGTTGCATGCTATATTTGAACACTCTGGGGACATTGTGATGATGAGATTTCAACATGGTATGATTATTTAGAATGAACATGCCTCTAAAAGAAAGATTTACTCTTTGGAAGTCACACCAGCTTCCCTGCTAGATTAAGATTCTTTATAAAACAATCAAACTTCTGAGCTGTCAGATGCCTGTGCAGAATGGCACTGTGGCGGGAACAAGGTCAGGAGTGCCCTGTGCCATGTGACCCCTGTGACCCGAGAGATGGTTGGGTCCAACTCAACAGGCAGTGGTGAAAACCAGGGTTTGCAAAAGAGCCATCTGCTGCTCCTGGAGTTCCAGGGCTACCCTACTACCCCAGCAGTGGCCATGCGTATCTTTTCAGCATTTCATGGATGATGAGGCTGATGGTGACACCACCTAAAAGAGTTTACAATTCCCTAAGCATGATACCAGCATCAACAAAACCAGTTCATGAATACAAGGATGGAGACACAGGCCACAGAGCTGGTCAGTCACACTCTTGGTCACAAGGAGAGAAAACAGCACAATTAGAGTCTCCTGTCACTGTCACAGCAGGAGGAGGTGAAGGCCTCTCTCTTCGTTGACATCAGTGTAGGAAGGCTTCCCACTGATGTCAAAAAAGCTAGGCTCCTATCAGAACGGAAAGTGAACCTGGTTTTCAGTGTTGGTCTTGGAAGATCTAGAGAGATGATGAAATTCAAACCAGGCTGAACTTTTAATTTGAGCTACTTTAGCCTTTGAGTTTTGTTAAATGAAGAAGAAAGCAGGCAATTTGCACTGGCAGCTACTGCATTTTGGACACTACTGCTGATGTTCCCAGAGATGTCATCAGACTTTAGGCAAAGTCTGATACTTTGAGGAAGTTCAAAATTCCTAAGTCAGATTTCGTTCTATTCGTAACATTGAGCATTTCAGTAGTGACATGGTTAGTTATGTCTATTGTATTTTTGCTGCCAGTGGTCTCAGTGTCTGGAGCTCCCAGTACCATTTGAAAAGGTGAGTCTTTACAAATCTTTAATGTTCTATTAATTATTAGAGAAAAGAATAAAAACTGCTCATAATTATCTAGCTTATGTGCTTTATGGAATCTTTTCAAAATGAGAGTATAAATCATTGTACATAAAATCAAAATAGTTATATATTTTCTGGCACTTTCTAGAAATTAGACATTAAACGTAAAACATCTTATAAATTTATATAATAAAATAAATGTTTACATTTTACTCAGATTACCACCAGATAACAGGAAAGTCACACGTGTGGGCAGCAAGATCACTGGAAACACAAACTCAGGTCTGCAGCCCTTTGGGGACAGACGCCATGGCTGCCGTCCACACACGTGGTCTGGGTCCCAACACCAACATTAAGGCTCTGTCTGGAAGGAGGAGCGCCGAGTTTAAACAACCACAGAAGTACCGCAGGAGTTACTAAGAATTCAAACTCTGTAGGGGAAAGTTTTGAACAGAAAAAAATAAAAGAAAGAATATCCAAACTGACCTCGTGTACCGTGTGAAAGACTACAGATAGAGTATCCAAATAAGCAGGGAAGACCCCAGAGACACCAGGGACACCCCACCCCAAACGGAGTAGCCTGCACTGTCCAGACTCCCAGGGTGCAACGGGGCAGGTCTGGGGCGAGGGCTGGCCAAAGACAGGAGCCAGCGGCCAGGTCGTCTGGGGAGAACGTCCATGGGATAAACCACAGGTGGGGAGGGAGGTCTTAGGGATGAAATGCCAGTGTCTCAGCACTAGGAGCAGACAGAGGGAAGTAGAGTGGGGAAGAAACCCCGGGCTCTTCCCAGGCAGGTGGGCCTGGGGGTGGGGGGTGGGGTGGGCTGGAGTTTCCCCTCACAGCCTGCCTTGTCTGTGGGATGCGGAGGTCATCTTGTGAGCGCCCTGGCAGGCAGGCAGGCTGGCCCCCCTGTACCTTACTGTTTCAGAAACTGGGAAACAGCTATGAATCTGCACTGGACCTCAGTAAACTGAAGCAGCCTGAGACTCTTCGTATCCTCCGCAGCAGAGCTGTCCTGGGCGCCGATCACTGGCTCCTTGCGGCTGCTTCTTGGGTTGCTAGAGCCTGGTGATATCTCTGCATTGCTGCAAGTCCCCGATGCTCTCGTAGTCGTTCTCCTTGGGGACAGGGTGGCCGTTGGTCTCCAGAGGGACCTTCTCGTCCTCTCTGTTTAGAGTCTGTATGGCTTCATAGTCAGGCTCTGGCTCCTCACCGGGCCTCCTTGCTGGAGGGAGTATGCTGGTGCTGCTCGGAGTTTTCTCGAAGTCTTTGACAGTGGCATAGAGGTCATTGCAGGAAGATGGTGACCTCTGAGGCAGTCTCTGCATGGAGTGGCAGGGAGACTCTGGCCCTTTCAGAGACGGTCCGGTTTTGTGAGCCGACTGTCCAGGTTTATTCACTGAGGAATACATCGCGGAGATCTAGGGAACAGAGAGAAATGAACAAGGCACCTGCAAGCTGTGACTTCCCCGCCTCCTTGGTGATAACCTACACACTGTTCACTCAGGAACACATCCCCTACCACCACTGCTAAGAGTTCTATCATCCATATCATTTCTGGAGTGTGTGACTGGAGAATAGTTAAACTGTCTTCCTTTCTGTAGACCAGTCTTATAATATGATTAACTCTCCATATACCAAGGTTTTGTGGGGCTCTCAGGGGGCTAGATGGAGCCATTGTGGCTGTAGAGAACTGTAAAGGGAGGCCAAGGAATCCCAGGGGACTCAGCAGGAGGCGAGTGCCTGAGCCAGCGAGGGCCCTCCAGAGAAGTGAGGCCCCTGAAGGGCCTTAGAATTGGCTGCACGTGGGAGAGTGAGGTAACTGTGGCATCAAAGATGACTCCGAGGTTTATCCTGTGTAGCCGGGGAGGTCGACCGATGGACGTTCTCCTCCCCGGGGAAAAGAACATGCAGGTGGCTTAGCAGTTATCATCTGAGGAGAGCATAACTTGAGCTCTGAGATGATGCGTCCTCCAGCACAGCACTCGGGAAGGAGTTCTCTGGAAAAGGTGATTGCTTGCCTCTGTGTGCAGGTATCCACAGGCACAAAGGTCGCATGCTGGGCACACCCCAGCCATGAACAGCAACAGCGCTCTGTCTGGACCTAGCACAGCGCATGCCGTAACTGTGGCTGCTACCGTTTAAGCGCATCACTGAAAATCTGATCTTTACTCTGGTTCTTAGGAACTCACTACCTGTTCTCGATGGTTGCTTCAAGGGATGTCATCTTTCCTGAGGTGACCAGCATCCAACGTTCCTCATGGAGAGGGGCCCCTTCCCAGTCTTTCAGGCAGGATCCAATTTCCTACTCCCATCCATCCTGACTTTTGGAATTTTCTAGCCCACTGCTGATTTCTATCTGGGATGGCTACCCAGCTGTTGACTAAAACTCTTTTTCTTACCTAGTTCTCCCTCCTCCTCATGTTTGTCCAACCCTTCCTCCTGCCTAGGGTCTTTCACTCTGCTTACCTACTCACCTGCCATTCTTGTGGCCCACCACCTGTCTGACACCTTCCCAACATGGGAAGCCAACCTGTCAACTTTGACATCCAAGTGCAGGCTTGAGAGTTGGTCGGTTCTTTCAACAAAGGGAATGATCACAGTCATTTACTCCTGAGAAGAAGCACTATGTTTTTGTTTTTGTTTTGGTGGGGGCAGGGTCTTGTTATGCAGTCCAGGCTTGCATTGAACCACACATACTCCAGCCCCCTGATCGCCGAGGCTATGCTTGTGAATAACACGACTGTGCAGGCTAGGTTTTGTTTGCTTTTCTATCTTGATATAAGCTAGAGTTGTCTGAAAGGAGGGAAGCTCACGGGGAAAAAGGGCCTCTGTATGATCAACCTGTAGGTTATTTTTTAAATAAATGATGTGGGAGGGCCCAGTCCACTGTGGGAGGTGCCAGCCCTAGGCGGGTGACAGAGGACTGTATAAGAAAGCGGGCTCTGAGGGGCAAGTCAGGAATCAGTGCTCCGTGGCCCTGGCTTCAGTTTCTGCCTGACATCCCAAGTGATGGAGAGTTGTAAGCTCACATAAACTCTCCTCTCCAAATTGCTTTTGGTTATGGTGCTTTGGCACATCAATAGAAAGCCTAATTAAGACCCCATGAGAATTTTCTTTTTGGTTTTCTGAAACAGGGTATCTCTGCGTAGCCCTGGCTGTCCTGGGACTCACGCTGTAGACCACACTGGCCTCAAACTCAGAGATCCATCTGCATCTGCCTCCTGAGTGCTGTGATCAAAGGCCACCACCACCACTGCCTGGTGAGAACTTTCTTTTTCTTTTTTGAGACCAAGTCTCAGGTAGTCCAGGCTAGCCTAATGTAACCAGGGCTGGCCTTGAATTCCTGCTCTTCCTACCTCTACCTCCCATGTGATAGGATTGTAGCTGTTTGCACCAGGCTGGGTTTATGATAATCAGGATTACAGCTTTAATTCCTATTTTTCAAGTTTTATTTGTAAGATTGCTTATGACTGTGAGTGCAGGTGCCTGTGGAAACCAGAGGCATTGGATTCCCCTGGAGCTGGTGAGACAGGTGGCTGTGAGCTGTCCAGCCTAGGTTCTGGGTATTGAACTCCTCTGCAAAAGCAGTACATGCTCTTAACTGCTGAAGCACCTTGCCAGTCCCTGATAGACACATTTCCTAAGAGATGTTTCGGTTATTTGAAAAGAACTGAAATTTACCTCCTCTTCTGTAAGAGTTGGGTCTTCTTCCCGAGACTTGTATGACAAGGAACTAAATCTCTGTTAAAAACAAACAAAAAACGAACAATGAAAACCAAAGTAAAGCAGTTTGAAGCTGGTAGTGTAACCTAGCCTGTGTTGTCTATGCAAACGGTCCATGTCCATACAAATGCTTCAAGTGATCTCTACAGACCACAGGCACCTGTGAGCCTCCTCCACCAGCTGTCGCCCATGCTCCTGGCTGCCCAGCCACATCACACTGTGCTTCGCACACTTCAATGTTTGGTTCCTAGTCGTCACTGAGGAAGGGCAGTGGAGGGGTGACAGGAACGTGGGCCTTCTACACGACATGCTGGCATTTTACATCTGACAGCCTGCGGTGTCCCCAGGAAGAACACCAAGGGTGTCAGAAGCTCTCCTTGTCTTGCTTCTCAGTGAGCCTGGTTCCTGGTTCTTCTGTGATCTGGGCTCTGGTTTATTAGCTAATTCTAGCATATTTCTTATCTTAGTTCTTGATTCCAACAAAAACATATCCATCCAAATTGTCTCTCCTACACTGACAGCATGCTCCACCATCTCCCAGTGTCTTCACCACACCAGTTCCTAGAAGTCCTTTCAGACCAGCATTCATCATTCATACTCTTCTCTTCAACCCAATTCCAATCATTTGTCAACCCTTACCTGTGATGCAGCTCTCTTCCATTTTTCCTTCGGGTACCTGTCCTCCCTGCTTTACCCGTGGATGGGCCCTCAGAGAGGCTCTGTGTCTCAGGCCACTTCACCAAGGCATTCTGCATCTGTTCTTCTTCCCCAGTCCATCTACTTGGTATCTTTTCTTCTTTCTCAAAAGCCCCAACACACCCATTACCCCCACCCCCACCCCCAGCACAGCATCTCCTCACTCACCGGCTGATGGCCTGGCTTCTGAATTCTCTGAGGGAACTTCAAGAGGTAAATACATTTCTCTGGACTCTACCCTGTCCCCTAGCAGCTCTGGTGTTCTTCTGTCCTCTCCCAGCTACCACACACGAACTTACTTGCCATGCCCCGCTCTCAGCCGTCCCTCCTACACACTGCCTTCTGTCCTTCCACACCAGCCTTCTCCCTTAGTGTGGTCATCTCCAAATGCATACAAACACGCTGGATTTCCTCACTGTGGTACAGCAAGGTCTTAGGTAACTTCCCCCTTTGCACCCATTTCAGCTGAGCTTCTACCTTCACTAGTCTGAGGAAGAACTCTTCATCTTGGTCCCAAATGATGACCACGTCACTCTGATGACTTGTCCTAGGTGAACTGAGGTCACGCCTTCCTTCCCAGGCATGCCCTTTGCCTAGACTCTAGCAACCTTGCCCCCTTTCCTGGTTCTTGTTCTTATTTTGGTCTCTTTCACTAGGCCCCCACTCCCAGGCCCCTGTTCTTGGGACTCTTCTGGCCTGATACACATTCATCCAACCAGAACATTTTTGCTGCTGGTTCTGAACTGTGCGGATCCAGTCTCAGGCTTCCCTCTTAGCCCGTTCACCTCACCAGCAGCCCTGAGATGTGTCAATGCTGGGACCAGTGCTGAGCCCTAACGGCACATCCCTAGCACAGACATTCAAACTTGCCCAGCTCTCGCCTGCCCGTGATGCTCTATCCTGATTCATGGTGGTTCCTTGTGCCCACTGGCTGTGTGTCAGCCCTCGATGTATCAGCCTTTGTCTTCCCAGACATGGCCACATCCAAGCTCTTGGCCATAGCTAGCTCCTCCCTTCACTTCTGCTGCCTCTGTCCTGACTGGGACCCTCTAGCTCGGGCTACTGAAGCAGGGGAAGCTTTCAAAGCATAGATTACCTCGCACCACTCTGCTGATTTCATTCTGACTGTAAGCCCGGCCTTCCTAAGTTCACACCCAGTAGCTATCTGCAAACTGCTCTCATCTTTGCCCATCTCTGTTCACTCCCCCAGCCCTCCCTCCACATATTGGCCATATAGCTAACTTAAGGGCTTCCCAGAAATCAAGCTGCATGGTATCCCCAAAGAGCACTTGCAAAGCTTTCTCAGGCACCCCTTAACTGTGCTTAAGATAAGCTTCACACTGCGGCAGAAGCTAAGAACTCTATCTCAAAGCGCACTCCCCACCCCACTTATTCCCAATCTTCCTGGTTTTATGCTTTCCCTTTAAGCTGTATGATGGCTAGCTCTTCTGCATTGAAGTATAAGTTCCACATGACCTGGGAGTTTCATTAATTTGTGTTGTCTGCTGGTGTAGTAACATCTAGAAGGCCATAGGGCAGATAGCAGATGCTCAAAATAAAATCGTTTGTTTTGATAAATATTAAACATTTGAAATTCTTAAGTCGATCAACACTGGAGTTGTTTACACAGAGGAGGACCACTCACTCCTGTAACGTGAAGGACTAATTCAGCACTTAGGTATGTGCATCCAGTTTTCAATGTGAAATCTGGGGAACTGCTTATTTACACTAGACAAACCAGCCCTTTTATCTTCAGAATGTTTGTCAACGAGGAGCTTAAGCTAGCTCAGGCAGCGCAAGCAAACTTCGTTTGTCTTCGGTTATAGGAAGGGTAGACACTTCCGCACTTTGTGAACACGCTTACAAATGCTTTCATGGTGCTTGCAGTTACCTGACGTCACAGGTAATGCAGAAAGTTGAAAGGACTTCTTACTATACCCAATGCAGCCGCAGGAGGGGGGACTGTCAATAATACAGTTGCTGACCCCTGCCTGTTCCCCTGCAAAGGGCCGGAGGTGAAGCTATGGCTGGAAGACAATTTTGCATTTTTCTGTGTAGATAACAGAAATCTGATATTAGCTGACGGAAGTGGAGGGGGCGGAGTTAAGTTGTGAGGGGAATTGGACACCCAGACATGCAAGGTTCATGGTGGCTTAGATTCCGTGGACACATGCTGTGGACTGCTGCCTTGTTTTGGACCTCTGCTGACTAGACTTTTTAAAAATTGCTTTAAAATATCGCTTAGAAACTCGTGAAAATAAGGCCTGTTTATCGAGGCCTTAGAGAAAAGTACGCATAATAAACTGCAGGCAGGGACACCAGCATATCTGGACTGTCTGGACGGGCTACCACGCTTTGACTTGTGGGATTCCGAAAGGCTCAAGGTTGCCGTGCTGCCTGAGGAAGCCACGCCGTGAAGAGGGGAGATAAAGGAAGGTAAAGGACATGGCCTATTTAGTTCTTACTGGAAACTCTCCAAATGAGAGGCCGAGAAAGGTTTTATAAACACAAACCTTCCGCATTTTAAGGCGTAGAGCGAGAGAAGGCCAAGCACAGCTTACACTAGGCCGCATCACTCCTCATCGTTTAATGAGCCTGCTATTTATGTATCTGTATTTATATGTATTTCCCAGGACTGGTAACCTTCTCAGCAGGACAAAAGCCCACCTTGCTGTGTTCACTGGTCCCCTCTGGAGCTTGCTCTTCTGCCTCTTGCTCTCCCTTCTCTGGAAGGTTTGCATTCTCATCCAGAAGTTTAACCGGGACAGGGGGCGGGTCTTCCTCGTCCAGGTCACTGGAAGTTCCCAGAATGCTTTCGGCGTTCATGCTCTGTCGGCACTTTTTGTTTCTGTCCACAGAGGCATATTCAGCGAAGTCAGCCTTGCGTTCCTCGCGGGGCCCCTGAAGCTCCTTCAAGGCGGATGTGGACTTGGACTTGCCACCCTGGCCTTTGTCGGCCACCTCCTTGATTTCCTTCACGGTTTCATACAGGCAGTCCTCCACCATGTTCTCCTGGGAGGAGCTATCCTTGAGCACCTCGTAGGGCCCCTCCACACCGGGCCCTGAGTCCCCATCCACAGCCCTGGCTGTGAGCATGGCATCCACAGCGTTCTCAGGAGGGATCCTGGGCAGCTCCCGGCTCTGATGACACTTGGGCTTCCCCGTGCTGTCCTGGGAGTCCAGCAGATCCGAAGCCGAGGTCTGGACTTCCTCATAATGCTGCATGCAGGTCATGGTGCTGTCTTCTGAAAGAACTGAATGGGCAGGGGTGGGTGTTAACAGTGGAGGACCATTATGTCACACCTACAAACCTGCTTTTACCGATGCTCAGCTGCCAGCTTCGACATCAGTGCATATTCTTAATCCTGTTACATTTAAAGGGAAGCTATCCTAGTCTCTTTCCCAGGAAAAGGTTTATTAGATGAAGCGGGCTGTACTTCATCATGTATTGTGAGTCCTGCTGAGAACGGTGTAGGTAGAGGTCCTGACAATGCTCAGGGTGAAAGTTACTATGGGGTGGGCCAGGTACCTGCTTAAAGAGGCCGAGGTGGGAAGACTGAATTCAAGACCAGGCTGCGTGACCTATCTCAAAATGGAAAGCGGGGTGAGGGCTGCTTGGCCTGGCATATATGAAGCCCTGGGTTCCAACCCCAGTGTGGCAAACAAAGCTGACAACCGTGAGGCCATACGGCAAGATTCTAAAAAACAAAACCCCAAAACAAGCCAGGGGGCATGTGTGGCACCTCTTGACCCTAGTCTAACCGGTCAGTCTCTGCCTATGTGGAGGGAAAGGTGCTCTTGCCCCCGCCTCCCCACGTCACCGTCACTTTTATCTGGCAGACACAACAGAAGCTGAGAAGCAACGATGGACCTTTAGGCCAGTGTCACAAACGACCCGGAAACACTGTGCCTTCTTTCCGCTTTGCCTTGGCCCCATATCCCTGCCTCACAAAAGAAGTCCAACCTGGACGTCCCTGGGCTGCCTCTAAAATGGCAACCATGACGCCTGCCGAGTCCATCCTTATCACATGGATTTTGAGTGTTGGCTAGGTGCCAGAGACTGTTCAACTATACATGAGTGGAATGCAATTCTGCACTCAGGGTGCTTAGATCAAAAAAAGTCTGTATCCAGTTGGACCTCACTGTGGGGAGATCAGAGACGGTGAGCCAGCCAGGAGGAGCTCATGGGGTCCTTCACCAAAACCAGGAGCCAAACCAAACCTCCAACAACAACAAACCGAGAAAATGGAAACAGGAAAGGGGGAGCACCTGGGAAGAGGAGGGGGTCAGGAGGAGTGTGTGTGTGTGTATGGGGGGGGATGTTTAGAAGGTAAGTGAGTGTGAATGTGCTCAAAATAGAGTCTGTTCATGTGTGGAAGTGCAAAATGTCAAACTGTTAGGGAAAAGAAGAAAAAAAGAAACCTGGGCTAATAGTGTGTCCAGCACCTCTGGCTTCAGCAGCTCTAGAATTCCAGCTCCTTCTCGCCCTGCAGGAGGGGCTCCTGCCGTGGTGCTGGCTCCCTGGTCTCAGGGCTGAGGGGCACCTACAACCTAGGGTGTCACTGATGGTGACCTGGCTTTCCTTCCTTGCTTTGGGTGAATGGATGTTACACGTGATCATAGGTGGGCGACTGCAGAGCATGCGGAGGGTCTGCCCGAGAAGCAGCTTCCCAGCTTTAAAGTCCGGGACAACAGACCCCATCAGATTACTAATGGCTGCGTGACAAGGATTTGGTTTCCCAAAGAGGTCCATAGCCCAGTCTCTGGAAAGGAACAAGCCGTACCACACAGCAGCTGCGTGTGTTTGTGTGTGTGTGTGTGTGTGTGTGTGTGTGTGTGTGTGAAAGAGAGAGAGAGAGAGAGAGCACACACATACATGCCTGTGTAATCAGCTGATTTTGAGGTGGGTAGAGAAACCTGGGTTACCTAGACAAACCAAAGAGATTGCACGGTCCTAGCGTGTGGAAGAGGAAGGCCAGCAGGAAGTTTGGGCGGGCTTGCAAACACCCCACGCTTGTGACCTTGAGCTGCTCCAGGCTTTCGTTGCGTGGTAATTTGATCCGGTAACCCTGTGCTAGAGTCCTCTCACTCTTAAACTGGGGACTTAGTGTGGCCTACCTGTGAGGAAGCAATGACAGTACAGGGACGGGTAGTAAGTGACAGCACAGAGGCTTCCAAGGGTGCTCCTGGCACCCAGCCTCCAACAAAGAGATTAGGTGTCATTATGCAAATGAGGCCCCTGGCTACACCTGGTAGTAATAATGGCTGGGCTACAATACCTTGCCTAGTTTCTGAGCTACCTTTTTTAATTAAAAAATGATACGTGTTTGGGTGTTCAGTCTGCACATGTGTCTGCGCATCACTTGCATGCTCGGTGCCTGTGGAGGCCAGGGCGTTGAATCCCGGGAACTGCAGTTATGGAGAGCAGTAGGTGCTGGGAATCAACTCCAGTCCTCTGGAAGCACCAGGGCTGTTAACTGCCGGCTCATCATTTCAACCCTGTCAGCTGCCTTATTTGAAACCCAGTGTCCTTTCAGTGGCATCTCTGCAGGACTTACTGTCGCCGTTGGTGAGCACGCCGTTCTGTTCGCTGCTAGCCAGCGCGTCTGTTGTCAGGCTGGTCGCTGAGTGGCTGAACATCTCCTTGTCGGAAGGCTGAAAAATCCAAACACATCTTTTGGTAAGAAGCTGACACCCCTAAAAGCAAAGCAGCCGAAGCAAATCCCAGAATCCATTAATGAAATTAGGTAAAACAGATACAGTTAAATTGAGCCCCTTCCGTTACTGGTCACACTCAGGTGTCAAGAGTGGGGGCCATCCTCACCAATGGAGGACGGGCTAAGCTTAAGCGTGATTCTGCTCTCAGGGCCCTGGGAATCTCCTGTCTCCACGCAGCCTCTCATCTGGTGGTTACAAATGGGCTACACTGTGTTTCCTTAGCTCAAGACAAAGGGGGTGCATGTATCATAAGTTCTTGTGTGTCTCAGAACAGACCGGAAACAGGGGCCAAAACCATCTCTATAACACAGGTGTTGCCAGACAAACAGACAAACAAACAGCACACTGTCAATGCTGTCTCCTGATGGGAAGAGAGAAATTTGGTCAACACAGTATTTAATGCCATACACTTGTGAGTCTATTTCGGAGCTAGTCTCTGGCTTCAGGCTGAGAAGTTACTTCAGGCTGAAAACTTACTCTGCAAACCTTCCTATTCTCAACAACACATGGGAGCTCGGAAGGAAGAGTAGCACTGACAGTTTGTTCCTCCAGGGTGACAGCGGTGCGTAGGCCCTGCCTGGAACAGCATGACAGGGAGAGCTGCCACTAGGGGCAGGCAGAAACTAGCTGGTCCTTGATGTATTTCATCCAATACTCAACTGGCCCCACAAAGCAACTCAAATGGGCATATGATGGACCCCATCCTTTTCAAGTTCATGGCTTCTGCTGCCCAAGACACAACCCAGCTTCCAGGAGCCCACAGGGAAATTCTGATGTGGCCTCTACAGAAGTCTTGGGAAGTTGGCTTCACAAACTTTGTCACTCTGATGGGACATCAATGACAACAGACAGAAAACGGCCCTTGATGTGTGGCGATGTGTCTAGGAAGGCTGCTCTTTCAGCTAGCATTGCTCTATGTGCTGCTGTATGAAATGGCTGTTGTTGGGGTTGCCAGGACCCCGAGAAACAGATGCCAACACTGTGGAGACGGTGTCTTTAGGTGATAGGAATGAGGAATCATGGGAAGGCTTCCCGTGTAACGTATCCCAGCCAAACATCCACAATCTATGCTTGAACCACTGTTTCCCACCTTAGATGCAATGAGAACAAGTCAGCAAACGGAATGATTCAGGAAAGCTGGGAGCTAGGTGGGCAACTGAGTGTGTGCAGGCCTCATGGTCGGTGGAAGCACACATCATAGAGTGTACACTGTGGTAGACATGTTCATGTTCTGAAGCTGTGTGGAGGAGATCCTATGTGAGGAAGAAGACGAAGGCTGGCTTTCTCCTCTGCTTGCCTGTAGCATTCTTCCTGCCTCCGAAGGCTGCTGCCCCCAGGGCAGAATAGCAGGGACAGAAGATCCAGAAAGATGGCATTCGTGTTGGTACCCGTATCAGAGTAGTCCCACCCCTGAGCCCTGGCTTCATACCAGCTCCCGGCTATAGCCATACCCGAGAGCCCTGTTCTAGGAGGAAGTGAGGACGGAGGTGCAAGCCCAACGTCAGCTATAACCCACTCTCCATCTGACTCAGGGGAAGGAGGGGAGCCACAGGACCCTGTCCTTCCACCTTCCTTCCCCCGTCACTCGAGCAATCACTGGGAGAGAATGGAGATGCTGGGAACAGGGGAGAAGTGGAGGATAACACAAGAGGTGAAAATACAGTGATACAGTGAGAAAACTGGCTGGGGAGGGTGAGGGGGGGGAGATGCTGAGGGCCAGCACGGCTGTGGTGGGGGAGGATGCTGGTCTCACACAGATACAGGGGGAGAGAGCTCGGGGGTCTGGGGTGGGGGTGGGGGAGCCAGGACTGGCTCCTGGCTGCTTCCTGCCTGCTTGGGAGGAAGCAGAGGTTCAGGCAGCCTGGTGCCTCATGCACGTGCTCAGAGCACACCAGCTGGATCCCCTGAGTTTAAGGCAAAAGTGCTTCCTTCTGGCTCTGAGCAGGAAGCGACTTCTCTCTCAGCACTGCCTTGGGGCTCAGAGGGGACACCACACAGCTCGGCGGACATGGCTGCTGAGACTGCTACGATTTAAGGGCACAACATGAGTTAAAGGACAGACAGGCTGTTCCTTAGCCAGGTGGATCCCTCCTTGAGACTGTTGGGTCCATCAAGGTCCCATCAAATGCTGCGGATTGGTGAATGCAGCAAGGCCAGGCCCTGCTGAGTGGTTATATTTCCACCCAAATGTATGTCAACATTGTAGTCCCCAGTGCCACAGACTGTAACTTTATCTGAAACCAGGGCCGCTTCAGATGAGGTCACATTAGAGCAGGGCATCTTTATAAAAACAGGGACTTGGCCCTAAGGGCAGACATTCAGAGAAGGAAAAGTGACATGAGGGATAGAGGAGAAGGCTGTGGGAAGGTGAAGTCACGGACCGGTGTGAACTAAGCTTAGGAACTGAGCCAACTCCGGAAGGAGCTAACGTAACAACGCTGAGTGCTGGACTCTGCTTTCCAGGGCGGAGGTGCAGTAAGTCTGATCTGAGTCAGTCGGTCCTTGTGACAGTACTTTCAGACTTTCAGGGACACACCCCTGCAGCAGGCTGGGGCCCTGTCATGCTCTTTCAGGCAGTCCAGCTACTGCATTCGCTTCACAAGCTCCCCTGAACACTGCGGCCCCAGCTGTGCTTACGGACTTCGGAAAGCCACAGCTGATTTCCATTTAAGTGCACAAGCCAGCTTCACTTGTGTCAACAGCCAGCAGGGACATGGCTGGATAGGTGTGAGCGCACAGACGACAGACATATCGGGGCTTACCACAGTCATGAGGTTCTCATGGTCCCCGCTGTGCTGCCTGGGCTTCTTCTCTCTGAAAGGAAAGAGAAAATGTCATTCTGACGTCAGATGTGCCCCTTATGGTGAAGAGGAGAGCGTGTTTCCCTAGCTTAAAGTTTTTCAGCTCCTCAGCCCTCTGGTGGTTTGAATTAGGTTGAATGTGCTAAGAGAGAGGAGGAGAACGTCGTAACTGACAGCAAGGGGTGAAATCCTTTCCTGCACACCCTTTCCCAGTGAGCAGAGGGACAAGTTCACAGAGGCTGGACAGAGGCAGGCTGCACGCAGGGTCTGTCTGTGCCTAGAATGCTCACATGACAGACACTGGCTTTTCTCTTCAGCAAATCCTAGCAATGACCTCATCTTCTCCCTCAAGAGTCTGACAGGGATGAGAGAGAATACAGGAGATACCACTTGGGCACACCAGGAAGATGGCATGCTCTCGGGATGAGTCATATGTACCTCCAGTCTACGGAAAAGTCTTTTGAGTAAAAATAGAAAGTGTTTTACATGGAACAGTCTAGAGAGAGCCATTGGTTGTGAAAGGACATTTCCATCTATGGCGGGGAGAGGGCGGCACCTAGCGGTAGAGCCAGTCATTGAAGCCGCAGAATCTTCAAGCCCACGGGAGCTAGAACTAAAATTTCCGTGCTTGTCCTTGCCTTGAGGGCCTGGGTCCATGCTTGGCAGAGATTAGGAGAGGGTGCACGAGGCCAGAGAGCCTGGCTTTTCCCTTTTTGCCAGATGTTAGGGTGGCACACAGATGAGACTTTTAAATATCATTAAGTTTCCTTGAGGTTGAGAGAGCTGAACCCAGGGCTGACTCCCAGCAGTGCCAGAAGGCTTCACCCTTTGTACCACCTCAACTCTCCTGCCCAATCAGCCTTGCTTACAGAGAACTCCACCTCTCCCTGAGAAAAGAAAGGCACGTGCAATGCTTAAAGAGAAAAAAAATGCTTCCACATTAGGTGAGTCTGTCTTCTAAGAAAACAAATCTGTTTCTTCAAGAAGGGCAGTACACCACACACATTTTTAATAATACAGAGCTCTCCCAAGCCACATAATGGTGATCATCCTGAGGAACCACCAACTGTGGGAAAAACATGTACTACCTCACACTGAGGTTTCAATATGCCCGTGGCAGGAGAAAGACCACACACAAAAATGATGTGTTCAAAGAATGGCAAGAATTAATCGAGACATTTAAAATAGGAGGGCATCTTTGCTTTGCTCTGCAGGAGGATCTGATGAGAAATGCCCCTGGAACCTTTGGAACCAACTGGTGAACATGGGTCAGGGAGGCTTTTTAATACAAAGATTCCTCTGGGCACAGTGAATAGGTTCATGTTCTAGAACAAGCATGTTTGCTCTAACCTGTCACAACTGGAGCACAGAAAGATGAGGAAGGTGATGAGGAAGAACGTGGCCACAGCAGCCAGACTTCCCCACAGGACCATCTGCATCTGCACGTGGCCACTGCCCAGTGCGCTTCCTGCAGGGCCCATGGTGGCAGCCGGGACGGCCAGCTGGGGCAGGCACTTCTTCAGGCGTGATCACATGGGTCCCGGGGGCTTCGTCCTCCTGCAGAGTGAATAACACACTTAGCGCCACTTTTCTGGAGGGGTTGAGCATTCCTGATCTGAAAATCTGAACCCTGAAAGACCCCTGAATCAAGACTGTTTTGAATGCTGACGTGAGGCCACGTCAAAAACTTCTGGACATGACATCAAGATGCACTGAAACCACATGAAATCACCCTCACTGTGTGTATGGAGAGAGCACGAAATAGGCGTGAATGTCATGGTCAGGCTTGCGTCCTTTCTCCAGGGTAGCCTGGATTTCAGAGTCTGAAAAGTCTCTAACACTTCTGTCTGAAGCACTTCAAGTAAGAAACGCACAGACCTCCAAGGGAGGGGGCCCGGGGGGGGGGGCAAGGCCTCACAGCAGCCAGGGTGCTGTGTACAGGAGGTAGGCATGCCTGGAGCAGGTACAGGTGTGTGTGCCCCATGGAACAGAGTGGAGGTCACAAGACAACTTGCAAGGCTCCTGTGGGTCTTGGAGATAGAACTCAGGTTGTCAAGCCCTGTGGTAAGTGCCTTATGTCTGAGCCATCTCGCCAGTTCCCTAGACACACATTTCGCCCGGGTACCACAGCCACCATCTATCTCCCTAGCTCCTCAAACCCATGTTCCTCTTAGAGCTCACATCAGTGTGAGCAACTAAACAGAGCAGCTGTCCACATACCTGCACATGCTGTCCACTGATGTGTGGCTTTACTTGGAAGGGGAGTTTTCACTGAGCTGATATTGGGTACCTGGCAAATTCACTCTCAAAGGAAAGGCTGGGGGGTTGTGCTGAGGGCGCTCCCTTAGCAGAAAGCAAGATCTTCATGAAGACCTAGAGCGCAGGCATCAGACCTGTACTCAGCAGACCCCAGGTGCCTCCAGACACCGGCTGTCACTGCCACCACCATTTGATGGGAAGCCCTGCTCGCCCCACTTTAAAGACCAGGAAGTTGGACCCAAGCAAGGAAAGAACTTGGTCAAGAATCCCAGAATGGTGGGGGCTGGAGAGATGGCTCAGTGGTTAAGAGCACTGTCTGCTCTTCCAAAGGACCCAGGTTCAATTCCCAGCACCTACATGACAGCTCACAACTGTCTGTAACGCCGATTCCAAGGGATCTGACACCTTCACACTAATGCACTAAAAATTAAATAAATTATTAAAATAATCCCAGAATGATGAGTGCAGCTGCCTGGACTCAGCCTGTGTTCTTACGCATCAAGGAAACCCTGGCTCATGTGGGCCAGCCCCTGTTCCCACCACAATGCTTCTGACAATGCTTGGAGAGGTACGTTGCGGACAGAGGAACACACCAGGCTAATATCTGTGGTAAGAGAGGCCTTATTTAAACAACACCCGTTTGATTAGTTCTGGAATGTTCTAAATAAAAGGAACTGGAACTTACTCTCAAGTAAGCAGTAAAGTAAGAAAACATAACTTCCGCACTGGGATAATAGAGTCACAAAACATATTTTCCTTGCAGAAGGGCACTGACTACATTGTCATTTGATTCAGTGACGTCACTGCAGTAACACGGGGCTGCATACCCTGCACGTCTAGGGTGTCTTAGTGACAAACCAGAGTGTAGCTGAAAGGGGGAGAGTCTGAGCCATGTCAACAGGGGCAGATTGTTCCCTGGCACGCTCACCTGGAAATTCAAGGAAGAAGAATAGTACATAGCGAGGCACAGTGCAGCCGAGAAAACCCCGCTTTCCTGTCTGTGAGACCACACGAACACCCTTCTGAAGCTTTACAAATGCAGACATTAGAATTTCTTGGGTAATGAGGAACTCTTCTCTGCTTATATATTATGCCTGTAAACAAGACAGGCTCAGAATAACACACAGACAAATTGCTTCTGCATGGATAAAATCACCACCACATTTGAGGGTACAAAGAACTACCCACTTTAAACTGTGCCTAACAAATTGCTGCAGCAATAGGTTTCTAAGACACACACAAGAAAGCATTTTCAGCACGGTGACCTATGAGATAACTTATCTGGTAGCTGTAAACCATGCAATATCTGCGGAAGCACAGACAAAGGAGTGATCTCCCCCAACATGCTGTTTTGTTTCTTCATTCACACACTTGATTAATGAATGCTATTTATAAAGAGCTATCATCTTTGAAGACAGCTGGCTGCGTGGATTGCTCCAAGGCAGAGCGGAGCACCAGAAGCCGGCAGGGGCTCTCTGGCACCCCTCTCCACTTCTGAGCATGTCTCATCATTCCTCCCTCTTGTTCCTGTAACAGGAGGGGGCTGATTGAATACAGCGAAGTATGTGGGGTGCCAGCCTGGCAAGGCAGCCCAGGGAGGGAGGATGAAAGGGAGTCACTGTGAGCTGCTGAATAAAAGATGGAACTCACAGAAAATGTGTCAAAACTCCTGGCTTACCCCCTTCAATTAGAACTTCATCAAAAGCCAGTGAAAGGAATCCTCCCCAGCTCTTACCCTATATAAAAATCCCACAATGGCAAGAGGGATTGTTAGCCATCACTCTCCCAGTGAGTAGGGGTAAAAATATCAAAAGTCCCAGTCACTGGACAGCGTCTACCTCAAGGTCCCTCTGCCACTTTACTGGAGGACCCAGGCTACAGCAGGGATCTGGGCAGAGGCATGAGGTAAAAAAGGAACCACAGTGGCCGGCCCTATAGTGGGTTCCTGGAGGGGCTCAAAGGTGTACACAGGTGCACGTGGTGCCAGGAGAGGTGGGTGGCACGTCCTTGATGCCGATGACATGCCTCTTCTCACATCAGAGGCTGGATGAGGCAGCCCAGTGGGAGGAAAAGGGTCCCAAGGGCAGGCAAAAAAGTCAGAGACATCCACCACCTCCACTGTTAGGAGTTCCACAAGAAGACCAAGCTACACAACCATAGCATATAAGCAGAGGGCCTAGGTCAGACCCATGCAAGCTCTCTGACTGATGGTTCAGTCTTTGTGAGCCCTTATGAACTCAGGTTAGTTGATTCTGTAGGTTTTCCTGTGGTGTCCTGGACTCTTCTAGCTCCTACAATCCTTCCTCCCACTCTTCAGCAGGATTCCTCGAGTGTGCCTAGTGTTGGCTGTTGGTTTCTGCATCTGTTTCCATCAATTGCTGGATGAAACCTCTCTGACAAGGATTATGCTAGGCTCCTGTCTATGAATATAGCAGAATATCATTAGGAATCATTTCGCTGACTTTTTTTTTTTTTTTTTTTTTTTTACAGTCCTGTTTGCTTCTAGGTCTCTGGACTATGTAGACTCTGGTTGCTGGCCCTCCAGGCAGGGTCAGGCGTGGGCTCCCTCTCATGGCTTGGTTCTCAAGTTGAACCAGTCATTAGCTGGCCACTCCCACAATTTCACCCCAGCACATCTTGCAGGCAGGACAGACCTTAGGTGGAAGGTTTTGTGGCTGGGTTGGCACCCCCACCCCTCTGCCGGAAGTCTTGCTTTGTGACAGGAGACAGCAAGTTCAGGCTCCATATTCTCCATTACTAGGAGTCTTAGCTACGGTCACCCTCATAGATTCCTGGGAGTTTCCACTGTCTCAGGTTTCTAGCTTGCCTCTGAAATTACTTGACACAGGGCATAGGAGCCCTTTTACTGTACCTTCACTGACACTATGCACCTGTGTACCAAGCTGAGGTGCAGAAGATGGTAATGTTAATGCAGTTGGAGAAGCCGTTGACAACTGGGCATGAAGTCTTTTTGCTTTATAGTATGCTTCATTATTGGATACGCTCGCTGATATCAATCAGGATGTAGACAGATATGTAATAAAAATACAGACAAACATGTAATAAAATACGTTGCATTACTGGAAAAGGGCAGTGGGGTTTCCTGAATCCCCAAACATATGTCAATTCTGGAAGACTGGGGGCATGCAGCAACTTGACTAAGAAAGATGGGAATGGGTATTTCAGGTTATAAGTTTGCTAGGAATTCATTTAGAAGTGGCTCTACTTACTTTTTTATGTAACATGAACTGGCTATGTAGTCAAGGAGGGCCTTGAGCTCCTGTTTCCACTGTTCCTGCCTCCAGAGTACTGGGATTATATGGATATACCACCATACCAAGATTGCTTATTTTGTGCTGAAAACTTCACAGTCTATTTATCATCCTGTCAAATATATAGATTCTATGATTTCAATCGTTAGCAAAACTATTGGCCTTTTGTTTTTAGAGCACATGCTGTTGTTTCCTCCCTCCCTTCCTCCCTCCCTTCCTTCCTTCCTTCCTTCCTTCCTTCCATCCATCCATCCATCCATCTATCTTACATCCTGATTGTAGCCCCCCTCCTCTCCTTTCCCTACTCCCTCTGCAGACACCCTTCTCCTCCTCAGAGAAGGGGGAGGTCCTCTCTGGGTACCAACCCACCCTGGCACATTAAGTCGCCTCAGGACTGGGCAAGCAGATGCTGTTTTTAAGCCACAAGGTGGCAGCATAATTCTAGTTTCGGCCTCAGTGAACAGGCTTGTGCCTCCCAGAAGCCGTGAATAATTGTTGTTGGTCATGTTTGCTGTTTTGATTGTCTTCCTTAGGTTGGATTATCAGCCACCCAAATCAATTCCAACAGGAAATAAAGCAAATGCCAGACAAAAGTGATGAAGGGTACAGAGCATCTGGTAGGTGTTTATTTCTCTAGCGAAACACCTTAAGCAGATAGGTGCTCTGATCACAGCCTGCCATATAATAACACTTTGCATGGCTGGGATGGCTGGCCTGATTGTATTATCCAGGGAGGCCGATACTTAGCTCCTTTGAAGGAGGTTTGGGTCAGTAATGACAGTTATTACTGCATCACAGCTGTCCTTTGGACCTCTAATTAAGGATGCCAGAAACCATCTCTGTTGATGTCCCCTCCCCTAAGGACTAAGGGCAGAGTTGCAAGCCCCATGGGAATGGCTCCTGCCTGGTTATCACCAGGTCTGCGAACAGTGTGGTGAAGGGACACATTATGGGCTACAAACAAACCAGACAAGTTAGCACGCATGAGAACCCACTTTCTTAGGCGGATCCCTGAGCTGCAGGAAG